GGCTCAGTAGTTAAGATGCTGGGCTTGTCAGCTGGAACGCCAGCAGCCCAGGTTCAAAATCTGAGTGCCACGTGATGAGGTGAGCTCTGGTCTTCACCCCAGCTCCTGCCAACTTAGCAGTTCAAAAGCATACAAATGTGAGTAGATAAATAGATATCACTTCGCTGGGAAGCTAACAGCGCTCCATGACATCATTCTGGCCACGTGGCTGCAGAAATATCTTTGAACAGCGCTGGCTCAATGGTCTTGAAACGGAGATGAGCACTGCCCCCTATGGTCGACATCAACTAGCAGAGTAAAATCCGCAGGAACTCCTTTTTTTACCTTTATGTTAGTGGAGTCTGAAAAAGTGATACTGGTGACCCATGTATTGTTCACTTTGGGCACCCTTCCTTTACTCCCACAACCAATTGATTGCTTAATTAATCATTTAACTGTCATAACCAAAATTCTGTTCTGTTTACCATGCAATTAAAATGTCTGTACTTAATAAAGTCCAGAAATTAATAAAATGTAATTTATATCTGTAGATATTTTCCTTATCCAGATTGAGAAAAATAATATGATTTATATAGCTGATTTAGTTTTGATCAAAGCATTGTCACTTTATATTCAGACAAATGTATGGAACTCATGTAAGCATCAGACTTCTAACAACAAATCCTTGTAGTATGTTTCCTTTAGACCATGTGGTATTTATCTTATAGTTTGGATATAATATGGAATTGGCATAAAACAATGTTTACCTCCAGGGTTGCTTTCCTTATTTTCAGCTAAGCACATCTAAGGTCCACAGATACCTACTGTAGAAGGATGAATCTAGAACTGCTTTTCAGTTAAAAGCAAGACATAAGTACGGCTAGCATATATTAATTTGAATGTATTTTTAAAAAGCCGTAAAACCCACCTGAGAGATGTATAACACAGTGACAAAGAAATATGTGCTCCCTTATGCTAAAGCATAAAGATTCACTGTAAATTAAATCTCAGTTCTGAAGCCTCTATAAAATCAGTGCACTGAATCTGCTGCAAATGAATAATGCTCTTGACAAAAGATGTATCGGGTTCTTGCAGGTTTTTGTTTCTAATATTTATGAGAAGTAGCAAAATTAAAGTATGGGATTTACAAAATATAGCCTGAGTAACCTTAAAATGTCATTTAATCCTAGAACTCTCTTCTTGTTTTAACCCCTTGTATCAAAAGAAATGTCTTATCTCTTGTGACTTTGTGTCTAATCTATATATGTAAATTTGTCAGCATATATAGCATATTTAACATAATGATTTTAATTTCTCCAGATCAAAGGTCCCCAACCTTTTGGGCACCAGGGACCAGTTACGTGGAGAGAGGTTTTTCCGTGGACTGGAGGAGGCGTGGTTTTGTGTGCTATCTACATCCCCCAGATGGGGTTTTGGTTGTTAGTGCGGCCTGGTTACTGGCATGCTGTGGCCCAGTACCAGTCCATGGACAGGGGGTTGGGGACCTCTGCTCCAGATGGCTTCTTCAATTACTCAGTTATAAAAGTCTAGAGAAATTTTCTAATACTGGAAATATTTCAGTCATTATGAAATGCACTCTTCTGCTGTGTCAAGCATCTTTTGAGAGGCATGTAGCAGGCATTATCAGAGAAAACATTTGGCTTAGACAATACATTCACCTTTTCTATTGCATATGCTTGCATTTGCCACAAGTAGATAGATGGACAGATCTCTGAATCATGTCCAACTGAATTTTAATACATTTAGTAGTTTCAATCTAAAATTATGGTATTCTGTAGTAAACTAGGGAAAATGGACTTTTCCCTCCCCTCCCCTAAGATTACAGAAAACAGTTCTAGAATCTGCTTTCAGAGTTAAATTAGGTGGCAAATCTGAAGTTAGAGGGATCAATTGCTTTCACATTTTCTTTTTTGAAAGTAAACAACTGCAAATTGGCAGAATATCTTTCTGCATGTTATTCATAACAAATTCATGATCGCAATAAAAAAAATCAGACTATGATTATTTATTATTGTTCCCTAAAAAAACTCTGTTTAAAATAAAAGCCATTAACAATTTTGCTAAAGTATGGTGATTACTGCACTACTTTTATAGAAACAAGTTTTCCAGTAAGAAAATCTGTGCAAAATCACCACAATTTTTGTAATGAAATATATTTTTCTTTATCATATCTTTCTCAGATATTGCTTACATTGTTCATAGTTGTGAGGAAAAATTATACTATGGATCAGCTTAGTTTCTTTTCCTTATAACTTACTAAATAAAGACTCCCTTGAAGTTTCATGGTGACTATATAGAATCATACAATTGGAAGTCAACCCTCCTCCTCAGCAGAAACAATATTTAATAAATGATAATCAAGTGTACACTGAGTTCAGATCAACTATCTATCCGGAGACAAAATGTGGCAATTTGGAATGAATTTCAATTTTCTTGGCAAACGACGAGGGGCTGAATACAATTGCCATTGTTAATTCTGGGTTTCTACAAAACCCCAATATCAATCTGTGGCCAGAGTGACATTTAAACAATACAAGCTGCCATGGAGGAGCAGTCCTAAAATGGAACAAAGGACAAAATCCAGTTTCCTGTTATTTATATAAATCAGAAGTGGGCAATTTTTTCACAACAGTGCTTTAGAATATCTAAGAATAAGAGGTATAAAGTACCTTTAAAAATGTTAAAGCAGTTGTTTCTTTTTAAAGACTTAATTGAATAACAGGGCTAGAAACCCAAGACTACACTGGCAGTGGCAAGAGAGTTCTAATGCTGCAAGATGAAGAGGAAGAAAATCTCATACCTACACCATCATCAGAGTAGGTGGTGTCTACTATTGAGGAAATGATAGAAAAGAAGAATCTTTTTGAAAGCTGGAATTGTTCCCACAAGGGAGTTAGCCATAGTACCAGCAGAGGAGAAAGCACCCAAGTTATAATGCTACTATGAACGTTCTTATGTCTTCAGTGTCAGTATGTCAGACCATGTTAAATCCAGACTCATTCTTGGATCAGCTGCCAAGAGACTAGGCAATGGAACTAAGATTTTAAATCATTTCAAAGTAGTGATATATCAGGGGAGAAGGCAGATTAGTAGAGTACTAGCAATTTGCTGGGCCTGAAAAAACAGTGCTGCTACTAACAATATAGGCAACAAGTCCAAAAGAGATAAAATTATGGGAGAGGAGAGACAACAGCCCCTTCTTCTCAGCTTTTTCTTCTCCCACTCTTGAATAAACTGAACACTGGGCAGGGAAACTATAAGTTCACTTGGCGGCAATTTCTATTCACATCACCACCAGGATAAAATGTTGGTGTTGGATAACCAGCTGAGATAGTCTTTCCAGTTCTTGATTTGATAGGTGATTTTAAAGTATATGTAGCTGCTACTGGCCAGGTGATAGATGGTCAAACAAATAAGGAGAAATACCCATTTAGCTGCAGAAGGGAAATACAAGTTCTGTTACTTGCAACAGTATATACTCCACACTTGAGTGTCTCCTTGCGGTCTTACAGATTGCCCACCTGCTTCATAACACTGATAAATTTCTCTGTGCAATGCTAGCTTCCAACCTCTATCACAAATAACTTGCCAAATTGTCACAATAAACCTATATCCAAATCCACAACTAATGTAACTATAAATTCTGAAGTAGAATTAGCACAAGTCCATTGCTTATATTTCTTCATTTATTACATACAGTATATCATAGACACTATTATCATTTCAATTTTTATTACATTATGTTCCAAACGGGTCTGAAATAAATCCACAGCTAATCCACAACTAATCTAGAATATTATTGAGTCTTCAGAACAATATAGCAACAAAAACCTGACCACCTTTCAGTTTCCAATGATCAGAATTACTGGAAGAGAATATACATAGCTTGGGGTTGAACTGTGGCATATTTGACGCTTTCTGAGTTTGGATATTTATTTGCAGACATTTCATTACCCAATTAGCAACATCATGGTATGATGATGATGTCACCGAGTTGGTTCATGAATATCTCAGTAAACAACCAAGCTTAGATAGCACCAAGAACTCCAAAGAACATGTCTGGTTCTGATGTTTACTTCAGATAGCAATATTTTCTCAGAGAGTTCTGTGGGTGGGCATATCTTTGGTACTGAGAGATAGCCTTTGTGATACTCTGTTCTACAGTTCCCAATCTTGAGGGTTTGTGAGGCTGTATTTTCTGAGGAATATATAACAGCTGACCTAGTTGAATGGCTGATTTATTTTATGGAAAAGGCAGACAATTACTCCTTTATACTTTCAATAAAAGTTTCAGCAATAAACTTTACAGCATTTAGGAAGTCCTTTTGAATATACTTTCCTTCAGAAAATCTATTGCAAGTGTTTTGGCAACATAGGAAAAACTCTCAACCCAAAATACTTTACAGTCTTCCTTAAAACAATATAATTGGAGGCACTTAGAAACAAAATGTTTAAAGAAATGAACCACAACTCCCCACATCTGTCATGAAATTGGGATGCTTCATCCCATTCAGCTTGCTTATAAAAAATAAAACTATAGCATTTGTGTTCTTTTCATACTATACTTTCAATGAATGGAACTCTACTTTTTCAAACTTAATTCAGATTTGGGTTTTAAAGTGAACTGGAGAACTTTTAGAGTGGCATGGATTAGACATACCTGCTGCTTGAACTTAGCTAGACTGGATGGTCTTTGTATGTCTACCCTCCCCCTTTAAACTCCTTGTATTTTGAAGGGACTAATGTTGAATATGCCATAGCAAAGTAATCAGAGATACTGATAAACAACAATTTCTGAAGATTTATTGACTACAAAATAAGCATAAATAAAGTATCCCAAATCTGAATGATTGTTAATGATTAAACAAAATGAGAGGGCTAGCAAATTGCTAGAGCACTTCACAATATCCTCTTTTGTCTTTGTCACTTTGTCATAATAGAGTAGATCAAATAAATATTGCAGACAAATCCACAGTAATAACAGAATGAGATATAGTTACCTAACATGATGAAAGGAATTCCCAGGAAGGTAGAATTATATTTCCCACCAGTCAGATTAATGATTCCAGCTGCAGTGAGAGTGGCCAGAGTCACAGTTAACAAGCCAAGGAGGCCAAGCCAAGGTTTGCTGCGGACACAGTCTTGCATGGAACAACAGAGCATTGCCAAGATCACCACAAGGACTAGACTTGTGGTTAGGTAATGTTCTGATACCCTACTTGTCTTCTGGAAGTCTTTTTGAAGGGATGATGAAGTGAAAGGATACATTGTGACATTCCGGTTGAATTTCTGGAACAGTTCTACTGTGTCACAGAAGTTGGATTCCCACTTTTCTGCTACAATGTCATTTAAAGAGTTGATTGCCTGCAAGTAATAGGTAAGCTGAATGGCTTCGGCAGACTTTACCCGATCTTTGCTGTGCACAGTGACTCCACCAAGCTGGTGCCCATTGTATACTTCCCTGCCATCCTTTAAGTGTGTGATTGGATATGTGATAGCAAAATTAGTTTGATTAGACAAGCGAGCAGCCTTCAGTTCCTTCAGGACATGTATAATGTCATCCACTATGCAGGACTTGTCATTATTTAGGATGCAGATATGAGCAAATGTGTAATTGAAACCAGGTCTTTGTACTTGGATCCTGGTCACAGCAGAATGCAACTACAAGGGAGAGAAAAAAAATCACACATATTATTTATCATCTGATAATCTTGCATTATAGCAGCAGAACAGCAGCGGCAACTAGAAAACATGTTTTTTCTTATCTACCCAAGCAAGCAGGATTTAATAACCAAAGCACTAATAATAAGTAACCTCTGAAAATAAAAAAAAATAATTAAAGTATTGTTATCATTCCCCAACATTATTTCACACAACTTAATTAACATCTGGCAAAAGAAACACCATGGTATCAATTGGTCGCTCTGTCTTTTCAAACAACCAAATAGACTCTCCCCACCTTTAAGAAAGCAAACATGTTTTAGTTCAGAAGTTCTCTATAAGGAGAAAGAAAGAACTTTGTTGCAATCAGATCAAAACTGCTTTCTTATCTAAAAGAAAATGAAACAAAGCAATAATGTTCCCATACCATTTAACTAAAATTGTGTTGGAGTTGAAATAGATTCCTGGTCAATGCATGGTCACATCCATGTATTTTTCTTTGTAACATCATACCCATTTGTCCAAGATGTTTTCTGACTCTCCAGTCTAGTCTACAGCCCCGATACTCTCCCATTCAAGGACTAACTAGGTGCAGTGGTCGCATTACTGTGGTAGATTAACCAATATGCAACTCAAAGAGGCATTAAGTTCTTTGAAGGTGGATTATTGCGTTTAAGACACAGTTAGTCCTTGACTTATGACTAAAATGGGGAAGTAATTTCAGTTGTAAGTTGAGGAACCCATGTGATTGGATCTGATTTTATGACTATTATGTCTTTAAGTGAATCACATTATTGTAATTCTTAATCACACAGTTGTTAAGCAAATCATTCAGTCATAAGTTTGAATGCCTTCTCTCAAATAGGCATTTATTGCTAGAAATCAGCAATAAAGTAGAAAATAGCAGTCATGTGACTGTGGAGCACTGCAACCATTTGTAAATGTGAAATGGTTGCCAAGTGTTTGAAAAGGGGTCATTTGACTGTGGGAGAGGGCAGAATGACATAATGGCCGGAACTGCTTTATGGTCCCTAAAGCATCCTTTTTGAGGTCATTATATTCCAAAAGATTGTTACATGACCTATAAAAGATTTTACAGAACTGTTGAGTTTCTAAGGCAGACACAAACTAAGTTAAAGCTTCTTAGAGTCTTGAGCAGTATGATTGGCTAGGAACTACTCTTTATTAGAAATGGTCGCTCTTACTCCAAATCTCTACTGATTTCCCTTTAATGAATTTGGACAGACATATATAGAGCAACCCAGAGTTTTGCAGTTTCTGATGGTCTCCCGACTCAGTACTAACCAGATAGACTGGTTACATTACTATGTGATTTCAAATGTGAATACAAAGAACTAGAAGCATTTTGAAAATGGATCATTGCATCTGGTGTATATATATTTAACATGTTCTATAGGCTTTTTAATTTTTTTTATTTCTGGATTATGCAAATAATAAACAGAGGATATTGTTGAAATAGATAATCCAGACTTAATTATTGCAGCAGCAATGATTTCTATTTTGTTTTACATTATAGCCGTGGAAAGCTAATGTACAAAAATCAGAAATGGTAAATATTATTTTCAAATTTCTGCTTATGTTGAAGCTCATTCAGTTAGCATAATGAGCTTTGCAAATAACGGAATATTTATATCTCAATTGATCTTACTGCATTAAATGTATTTAATTACTCTTTCTTAAAGAAGATGATTACATGAAACCTATATGAATAAAGCACGCTTCCTTTCTGGTTAATGGCAACTACTGTACTGCATATAGATATTTCTTTTGAACAGTAGCAGTGTTTTCAGATTCAAATTCTATATACAGTTCTCCAAGTAAGTCCTATCAAAATCTTGGAACATTGTGTTAGATCTTGGATCAAAGATTTTGTTTAGTTTGGTCATAAATCACATACAAAGCATAATATTTTATAGTAATTCATTTGTTAGAAGTTTATTTTTGTATATTTGAAAAGTTACAGAGCGTCTCAGATACAATAACTCCCTTTCATCAATAAACCTTCCCAAAGACTATACTAAGTAGAACAGCTTTTGTAATCTAAATTATAAATAAATAAAAAATTAACTTTCAGTAATTAACCATAACAATCCACTATAAAATATCCACCATATATAATCAAAATGTTAAGAATATCATAATATTGTTAGGAATATCCAATAAAAAACTAGAGGAAGTTTAATCTACTCACAGCAATAGCATGAAAAATTAGAAAGATGTATTGGAAAATCTGCAAAAAATACTATTTGTCTGCAAGTGAGAACTGATGGGGAAATAGAGAAAGTCATAGAAAATGAAGATGTTAAAGTGCTCTGGGATTTTAGAATTCATATAGACAGGCACCTGCCACATAACATCCCAGACTTAACAGTTGGCGATAAGAAAAACAAAAAAGTCTGGAAAGTGGATGTGACAGTACAGAATAGAACAGAAAGGACTGGAAAAGATAAAAAAAAATCAAATGACTGTGGCAAAAGAAAGCAAAGGTAGTACCAACAGCAATAGGCGTCTTGGGCACAATCTCAAAACAACTGGGGCACCACTTGAATACCATCAGTATTGACAAATTCACTGTCAGTCAATTGCAAAAGGCAGCATTACTTGGAATAGTTTATATCCTGCAACGATATCTGCAACATCATCAAACATTCACATCTATCTATCCCAGGTCCTTGGGAAGGATTTGATAAGTGGACAAAAATGCCAAATCCAGTCTGAACATCTGGCTGACTGTGTGATGAACCACACAGTGTGATGAACCACAATTAAAAGAAATCAAACAACTGTGGCAAAAGCAAGCAAAGGTAGTACCAACAGTAGTAGGCGCCTTGGTCACAATTTCAAAAGAACTGGGGCACCACTTCAACACCGCTAGCATTGACGAAATCACTGTAAGTTAGTTGCAACAGGCAGATTTACTTGTTAACAGCTTACAACCTGCAACAATATCTTCAACAGCATCAAATACCAACATATGCTGATCTGAAGTCCTTGGGAAGGACAATAGGTGGATGAAAATGCTAAATCCAGTTTAAACATCTGGCTACCTATGCAACCAACCGTAATAATAATAATTGTAATCAGCACTATTTGTTATTGCACTGGTTCCTCTGTCAACAATACTGAACAAGTCAGGCTATGGATATTAAACATCAAAAATATCTCCTAGATTGGGTTAAATATATCATTTGATCAGTCCTTCAGGATCTTTGTTCTTCCTTTGACTAAATCAGATGATCTGGAAGGAAGCAAATTTGGACAGTTTTCACTTCTGCTGTACCTTCTTCACGATCGGTAGCCTTATTGAGGCCTTTCACTCCCTATCACTGGCTTGGGTGACTTTTCTTTCTGTGTATATTCCCAGAAGAATCATGTCACAACTGAGGAACCAAACATCTGAGCAGAGAAACAGGATAATGCCCAAATCTGTCTTTTCCTTTCCATCCTTTTCTCTTTTGAGCAGCTAGATTTGAGCTGGACACATTCTCAAATGATCCCATTGAAAAATAGATATGTCAAAACTCTACCCACGCTAATAAATTACAGTATTTCTCTGTATATTATTTGCAGTTGTGTGAAAGACTATTTCACGAGAAATATATAGAATCCTTATTGCCAGCAGTGGCCAAAGACCTTGCTATCACTACAAAAGTCCAAAAAATATTTGAAACTCACAGAGCTATTTTTGTATCTCCCTAATTTCTTGGCATTGTGTACATCTGCAATACTTACTTAATTTTCATTATTTTGGTTTCAGTAATTAATTTTTCAAGGAATTCAATGTAATACTTTCATCTATTTTTCTGATATAAAACATGACAATATTATAAATGTGAATTAGTATATTAAATATTAATTCATTTGGGCACAGTACATTAAAATAATTCTCTAGGAAACTTTTAAATTTAATAACAGTAAAAGATGCTTCATTAGAACAATTTTAAGGTAGGCTTAATCAAGTGAGAATTGTTAAATGTGAATGTAAGATTTGAAAAAGGATGCAGAAAAGTAGATTAACTTGAAAAAGCAGGTTAATTTGATTGATACATTTTATTAAATTGAATAATCATGATGAATCAAAAGTTATTTTTTAAAAAATCTGGAGAGAATAGATTAAACAGTGGGTAATCTAATCTGCATGAAAACTTTGTAACTGTAATAGTACAGGGGGAAAAAGCAGCTTGCCCTGCTTAGTCATTGTTCATAATTTAAGAGCTTGCACAGTATAAGTAACTTCAGAGCCAAGAACACTGCATTTTCACTAAATGCACTGCAGCAGTGAAGACTCTGTATTACTAATTATGAGGATGTCCAGAACTTTTCCACCTTGTTCCCAGATTAAACTAAGATTGTTTTTCCTACTTAAAATCATGAACAACTTTTTGTTAATTATTTAGGAGACAAAACAACAGAAGGTATGTTTACACTGAAAATACTGTCTCAGGGTGAGGTAATTGCTACAGCTAGTAGGGTAATCCTTTTCTATTTTTAACAAACATTTTCCTCTTGTTGAAGAGTAAACATGGCATTGTCCAGTAGTGGGCAACTGAAAACCTAGAGATTACATACTGTTATCTATACAGTACCAGGCCTATCGTTCACACACTATTATTGATTCAAAGGAAAATTTAGGTAAGGTAGAAAAAAACGAATAAATAAGATATAGAGATGTAATGCTTGCGGCTCTATTTTAATCACCTAAGCAAAGAGAGTTGGCTAAAGGCTTTAATTTTAAACTCAGACTACTATACAACTGCAAAGTAGCATCAAGTTAATAAGACAAGGGTTGGAAAAAAGAACCAATTGTTCTCTAACTTCTCTGCATCTTAACTCCCTGGGTGACTGCATTGCTAATCATTATATTAATATTTTGATAGTTATCTTGTCATAACTAATATTACTAATTAATAATATTTGAAAAGTAACCTATTTTATAGTGTGGTGTGGTTTGTAAAATATAGATAAAAATAAAGCCAGGT